TAGAATATAAGTATTAAGGAAATAATTTAGGAGAAATAAATATGAAACATATTCGTTCAGTTAGCAAGAACTAGTTAGAGAGGAAAAGAAAAGGAAATTATTTAAAAAAATTATGCGTTTGGTTAGATGGAAAGTGAAATTTTTTGGAAAGTAGGATTCTCGCTGTTGTGAATTTTCCAGTTTGGTTAGGTAGAAATTGATGATGGAAAGTAAAAGAAAGGAAAGTGAAGTGAAAGAAAAGAAAATTAGTTTTCTATTATGTATTTAGTTAGCAAAAAAAATTTTGAAGAAACTTGTGAGAAAATGTTATTTAATTAGTTTGGATAGCAAGAGAATGAAAGGAAAATGATTTTATATGTCAAAATTACCCTTATGAATTTAATAGTAAAATAATAACAATATATACAATTAAATAATAATATTATTAGTAAAATAATATATACAATTAAATTACCCTTATTAATTTAATAATAACAATAATAGTGATAAAATAATATATATAATTGGATTTATAAATAAATATATATGTCTAGATATGTATGTGTCTCTTTATATAGTTTTTTTTTTTTTTTTTTTTTTTGGGAAGTTTTCATTTTATATTAGACTCTGTTATTAGATTAGTTTACTTTGTTTTGTATGTGTAGCGAAGAATTTTAATTTCAAGAGTAAAAGAGCTGTAATCAATTTAGGAGTATTAATTTGTGTAAGAAAACTTTCCTTTTGTGAGTATGAAGAAACAAAAAGAAACATTTTAAGAAATTAATATATAATGATATAACTTTCACGCGAAACTAAAATTTTCACGTGTTTTATAGAGGAAACATTTTGAGAAAATTAAGCAGTTGCGGGAATATTACTTACTTGAAAACTTTCCTTTTCAGCTAACCAAACGGCTAAAAATTTTAAAAAATTTATGTTTCTTTTCCTTTCTTGCTACTTCAGGCTAACCAAACTAACCAAAAATTTTCAGTATAACCTAGCCACTTTATATCTTAGTTTCCTCTTGTGCCCTTGTCGGTTGTTCTCCCCCCTCTACTTCACTTTCTCAATTTCTCCATGTTTCTCTCCTTGATTCTCTCAACCCTTCAATTTGTCACAAACTTCACACAGATATAGATTTCCTTCTGTAAATTAATATAATCCTAATTTAATTATTTATATTTTTATATATGCATATAAAATTAATTTTTTATTATTATTATTTTGGGTTCTATAATTAATAGTGATTGAGATCGAGTAGTATACATACATGTTTTTTTACTGTTGGTGTTGTAGGCTTTTTTTACCGTTGGTGTTGTAGGCGATTGGGAATCTTAGTTTGATTAGAAACTTACGATCTCCAGATTTGGGTTTTACAATTGTTGTGTCTACAATTTAGATGTTAATAGAAATAATTATATTATTATTTTTAATAATATATTATTTTACTTTTCTTTTATTTTATTTTATTTGTTAAAAATGGATATAAACAATTAGTATAAAGTGGTTCGTCAAACATAAATTTATTTTATTTTAAAATATTTAAATTCCTAAGAGTAGTTTTGGTAATATAATCATTTTCTTTTCATTTTCATCCTATCCAAACTAACAAAGTAATATTTTTTCATAATTTTCTTGAAAAATTTTCCTCCTAACCAAACTCACACTGGAAACTTGATTTTCTTTTTCTTTATTTCACTTTCACTTTTTATCATAAATTTTTATCTAACCAAACAGACCCGGAATTTTATGAAGAATGCGAAAATTTAGGGAAACACTTTTTATATTTTTATTAAAAAAACATATATATATTATTATAATATATATATAATATAAGAAAGGGAGAAAATCTAAGGGGCATGTGCCCCGATGCTTAACTGCCTCGTGTCCCGAAGGAATGGGATGAATTTCAAAACATATTCGGTTTAGCGTGAAGAGGGTGATGTGTGTGGGCTTCTGGAAGGATGCATGGCCTGGGAATTGGGCGTTAGTAACTTAGTATCCGTCTTTTAAGCCTCTTTCAAGTTGCTGTGGATAAAGAAATTTTGGTGGAAGGCAGTTATAGCCTTGATAGCAGGAGGTTGTCGGAGGATGTGTAGTCTGAGAGATCCTTTCACGATTGAGAGATGTTTGTGAGGTTTTAGAACTATTGTATCAACAAGAGGTGGGGGATTTGAGTGATGATGAGTGGTGTTGATGGACTTTAGTTATGAAATGTTGAAATTATTTTATTTGAGAATAATTTGACTATGATCTTCGCCTCATTTGGGGTCCATCAAGTTATGCCAAAATCTTCAAATAGCATGCTTAAGGTTTGGAGAGATTGTATAGTGTATAGGTTGGTGAGATGCCCTTTTTTTTTTTTTTTTTTTTTTTTTTTAATTTTAGTTTTTTATTCTTTTGGGTAAAGGGTGAAATTGTAAATATGTGGAGGGATACAGTGAATTCCATTGGCCACTTTGATTATATAGTGGACGTTTCTTGTGCGGTTCTTTGGGATGCTTTATCTTTTAAGCGTATTTTATAAATTTCACTTTTTATATATTTTATCTATGCCCTAATTAAAAAGTACAAGTGTTTCAAATCATTATTAAAATTCAATTAAAATAAAATCTAATTGGATTTGTATTACATTCTTACAAGGTTTTAATTTTAACAAAAATAAAATAATAATTGGGTTTGTATTAAAATTCTAAGGTGTTTCAAATTTTTTATTTGTATTAAAAAAAAAATTACTAATTGAGTTTGTATTAAAACTCTTACAAGGTTTTAGTTTTAACTAAAATAAAATACCAATTGATTTGTATTAAAATTATTACAACGTGTTTCAAATTATTGACTTGTATTAAAATTCTTGCAGTTTTAATTTTAACTAAAATAAAATACCAATTGGGTTATTCTTCTACTACTTTTAATTTTAACTAAAATAAAATACCAACGGGGTGATTTGTTCCGAACCTAATTGTATTGCAAACCGCAGAGGCACCCGAATGTATTAAAAATTTGCATAAGTTCTTGTCGGATTTTAGAATATTTACCAAAAAAAAAAAACATATGAAAATATTTACCGGTCCAAAAAAAAAAAAATGGGACAGATAGAGATTAAAACACTAACATGAGAATATTTACGTATAATCATATATTACATTGCTAGGAATCCAAAAAAAAAAAAAAAAATCAACATCATTTCACTAAGTCTCTTCCAATTGCATTGTATTAAAATGTCAATCTTTCATACGAAAATTTCTAAAATCATTATCACAATGATTATGATATCTTCGTAAGTCTTTATAATCCCAAAACAACTTTTTTCTCACAGATTATTATTCAAAGTGAATGATTGCGATTACGAATAACACGAACACTATCTACGTCGTCATGATGCAACATGTTGCTATCACAATTCTAATTCGGACCCAACGCAAGCCTTCCAAGGGTTGCTTGCATACCTTTGAACGCTTACAGGCATTCATGTTGGAAGTCCTGAGATTCGGGCATGAAAAGAGCCCCTCCACGAACATCCAATGAACAATAAATAACTCATATTATATTATATTAATTAAAAATTTAAATTATAAAATTGCGTACATCCACATTTATAATAAAAGAAAACCCAAGAAACTAATAGAATAAAGAAACCGAATTACTTATGAAAACTAATTCTTTAAGGAAATTAACTAAAATTAAATTTCCTCTAAAAAGAAAATAAATAAGAAAATTACTAAATACAATCAAACTGCAGTACAACAAATTCCGTCATCCGAACGAAGCCTAAATCCCCATTAAGATTCAGTGTTAAAGAATTGTTACACTATTCTGCATCTACAAAATTCTAAAAGAGCAAAAGATTTTAGAATTAGGGTATTTAGAAAAATAACAGGTAAAAAATAAGGGTTTTTAGAAAGGACAAAATTTTAGATGAACTAATTTTAGAATTTCTTAGAATAAATAAGGGTATTTAGAAAGGAGAAAATTTTAGATAAGTATAATTTTAGAATTTCTCACAATAAATAAGGAGGTGGAAGCGTGCTATAAATATTCAACGAGTAATTTGAAAAACTCAAAAGTCATTGGCTCATCTACCTACACATTATGTGAAAACACCTTAGATATGACACCAAAACAATAAATCATATTATAAATATAAAAATTCCCAAAAATCTTCAAAATTTTGTTCCAAAACTCGCTATTATGGTAGGAGTGCACCCAGCTCTATTAAAAAATATATCAAAATTTTATATGGATTGAAGCTCAAATGGAAGGAAAGACGGAATCGTGACGGAACAAGATTAATGTGAGTGGAAAGAAAAGCTGAAATAAAATCCATTTTTGAATTAATATTTACATAATATTCGTTTTTGGTTGTCTTATTTCTAAAAATAGTGTAAATATTGTTTTATCAAAAGATGTCCTTCCAACCAGATATATTGTAAGTTTTAACGGTGACAAAACTAAAAGAAATGAAGCATGATGAGGAATTTAGAGACTAGAAGGATGAAAATCTTAAATGTAAGATAAAAGAGAAAACAATCCTGGAGGGCGAACATTGACCCAAAAGCAAGACGAAGCAGAAAAGTAGTGTATACGTCAAACTCTCCTTAGACGTTGCAATGATTGGAGGCTCGTGCATATGACTATCACTTGGGTTTTAGTATAATAATCTCATATTTTGTTTAATACCAAGCAATAAATAGATTTAACTAGTCAAAATTGAACAATTTGGACCATGGTCTTATGTTCAAAATTCCACAATTTGGACAATATTCATCTTCTACCCAAAAAAATGGGGTATCAATTCAAAGTTCAACAATTTGGACCACTTTCATTTTCTACCCAAAAAATGGAGAAGCAATTGAATGATAAATAGTGTTTTAACTGTAGTAACTTTCAGGCATGCCATGCAACAATGTTTAGAAGAGCATTAAAAATTAAAACAGCTCATCTTATACCTTTTGGGGGCACGCATGCGCGCGCACACAAAAGTTCATCTACTTTCTACTCCACAAAATCAAGCAATGTGCTTCTGTTTACTGAAAACCCAAATTTCACTTGGAAATGGATGGATATAACAAAGGTCTTGTTACAATAAATTGATACACCCAATGTCTCCATAAATCTGGAGGACCTATAAAAGAAGCTATCCAGCAATTATCGGACACACTTTTAAGTCTCGCAGATATTCTGACCCGCAACAACCACTTGTTGGATCATTATATTGTTTTGATGCATGTATAAACACAAAAATATACACCATCGTTCAAATTTTTGCACATACGCATAAAAATACGAGAAAGATATGGTTTAAAAATGGAGAAATGAGCAAAACTATTTTTGGAAGCCACCAAACTGATATTGTTGGTTGCCGAGGCTTGAGAAGATGTCATCTCCACCCATTGCTGTGGATGATGTAAAACCGGATTTACCAAGACCAGAACCTGTACCCATTGCTCTCCCTGTGTAGAATGAAGTCGGGGGTCCCTTCTCCCTTTCATCTGATCCGTCGCTCAACCCACCGACGATGCCAATGTCTACTAGAGATACCTTCTTGGCTGCAAGTGGAATTCAAATTATAGGCAGTCAAAAGATGAAAAACAAGTCAGCAATGTCATATAGATCTACTGCCTCAATCAAAGAGGAGGAGGTGCTTTTATGAGGAATGAAAGCACTGTATGAACAGGTAAAATATGTCCACTGAGCCACCAACTAAATTTTAATATCTATTTCATTGTTGTCACAATCAGTCTGCGAACTTGAGAGGGAGGACATGGGAACCAACAGTTTGAACCAACGGATCAACCATTTGAGTTATAATATACAATAGATGCATTTATGCTAGAACAAAAAAAATAAAAAAATTGAATATAACATGCGAAATGATTAAGCTGAAAAAGGTACACAATGTAATATATGCTTTTGGGGCAATTGGTAATCTAACATGGTATCTTTAGGAAGTCTTGGCTTTATATGCATAATTATTCCCTGTTTGGTGTGCAAGTCGCACTCTTTGCCTCGCCACATGGGGAGGGTGTCGTAACTTGGTACATTGTTGGGTCCATTCTCTAACAACTTAAAATTTTGGGACATTTGGTAGCCTATATAATGACTATGAAACTCAAGATGCTTTTAGGTCACACTCTAGTGGTGTTGGCCTCCTTGTGATGGTTCAAGCGATGGTACCCCCTCTAATGTTTAAAATATCAGAAGTGTTAGAAAATTTACATAGAATACACAACGGTTCAATAATTGAGGACACTCATGCCAGTGAAACCATCATGGGTTCGAGTCACACAGGCTAAATTCTGACTACTAGATTCAATCAATTTCTTGAAAACATAGATCTATTACAGTATGAAGAACATTAGAACAGCAGCACATTGAAAACACAAGGAATGTAACCAGCATATTTTATCTACTGATTCAAGAAGAGCAACAGCTCTTTTAATATATATATATATATAATAAAATCAAATTATCTCATGTTCTGGAACATTCTTCCACACAAACATCAATAGCAAAGTGGAAATTAAGCACAAATTCCTTACTTCACAGGGAAACCTAATGGTCCTAGAAGAGACCCACAATTTTCTCTAGATAGGCAAAAGTTAGAAGAGCTGTCATTTCCCACATTTTACAACCCCTAGAATTCCAAACTCTCAAATTTCACAAATGGAAATCTATTACTGGCATTGGGATAAGCCATGCCACATGAATCATATCTAATTACACAGCAATCAATGCAGAAGGAGATGGATAGCAAACTTGGAGTAGCTTTTAAACACAAATAACCCAAGGATTGGGAATAGGTAGAAGGGATAATACAATAAAGATGGGTCAACTTATGAATACCACTCACAGGAAACAAGCTACGATTGTTTAGCGTTTTGGATGCTTCACAAAGGTAGGGCCGTAGAGGTGAGCAATCAAATCTAGACCCTAAGAAGAAGCAAAGCAACCTACTTTGTCCACATAACTTGCAGAAGGATGCAAACAAACTGGTGGGATCTTAAAATATAAGGCGTCACCTTTGAAATATACATCATAAAGTAGTAGAATAATCAAATGATGTCAGACCTTATATTATTGTGGTAAAATGAAAGAAAAGATCCCCTAATCAGACATCCAAACTCCACCAATCATCATGATATTTGACTACAAATGTTTAGTGGGGCCTATAATGTGGTGAACCACACATCCTTAAATATGTGACACATCTAGTGGGCCTTTGAGAGCCCATACATCAGATGTGCATAGTTATCAGCATGCTTAAACATTACAAGTCATTAGACTCATTACAGTTATTTATTCACAACTCTGAAACAAAAAAAATTGAACGTGTTTTATTCACAAGTCATTACAGTTAAGAGGGCTGTAGTTAGTATTTGCAAGTATCTTAGACTTTTTGTTTAGACTGAGATTCATGAAAAGGAAAATAACTTGCGCTTAGACTGAGATAATAAAAATAAAAAATAAATAAAAAATAAAAAAAAAGGATAAGGAAAACTTACGAGCAGATATATTAAGATCAATCAATCCTCGGGTCAAAGAATCTGCCCATACGCCAGACTTCACTTGGAAAGTATCCTTCTTGGACGGTGGAGGCTTAGAATCAGTTGAAGATTTTGCATTTAAGTTGTTATGGCTGCTAATAGGATTTTGTGTAGGTTCTGTAGATAATGAATCAGTATGAGAAGTAAATACACCAAAAGGATCAGATCCATCAAAATTGTTCAGTGGAACTGCAGCGAAAGGATCAACAGCATTTGTGCTCATTGTTTCGGATTTTGAGGACTTGCTATCTGGTTGCACAATTGGATCAGGAACGGCAAAAAGATTTACTGAAGAAGAAACTGCAGGAGACAAAGCTGGTTGAGGAGCAAATGGATCAACAATGTTCTGCACAAATGATCATGAAATAATGAGTTAATAAGAACAAAAATGACTTCGAGCACCAGATAGATGATAACTAAATTCTGAATCCATTTAAAGAATGACCATTGCTTATTTGTTTCAACATAACCAACCAAAACATTCTTTCACAGCATCTCATAGAAGACAGTTCCATAATTTCATTTTTTGAGAAAGCCATTTCATGAAGTTCAATTAGGAAGCATTTTAGAAGACTTTAAGATCAACAAATCAATAAAAAACCACAAGGAAATACGAAAAGAGTTATCCTTCCCAACCATCAGCATACATTCCAAGACACCCCCCCCCCCCCCCCCCCCCCCCCCCACAAAAAAAAAAAAAAAAAAAAAAAAAAAAAAAAAAAAAAAAAAAAAACCACAAACTTGTATCTGTAGAATACATTGCACTGCAAAGCAGAACAGATTCAAAGCAAACTAGTCAAATCAGGGAACACTAATATTAGTCAAACTTTTAAACACACACATGCATGCTCATTCACAGGGAAAGAGAGAGAACCAAGTACAAAAGCAGTTACAAAAGCAGTTGCATACAAACAAAAGATCTCTAGGAGAATAATACATCTAGCCTCATCCACACAATTCAATTAAAAAAAGCAAACAAGTTTTGCTTGAATTTAAAAACTTCAAATACTAATTACACACATATTTGAACCTCCAAATAACAATCAGCGATGAACCAATGAGCCAATTGTATTATGGAACTGCATTATTTGACCCCAGTGAAACCAGCCTATAAATTACTCGGAAGACGGTGGTTAAGTAAAGGGCGAGGGTATATGACCCCAGGTTACAGAAGGCACCCAGAGAGAAGATACGAATAAAAGACCCCGTATCAAATTTAGTTTAAATTTCCAAAGTACTTAAAATAATAATTCTTTAAGTTATATAAAATAAAGGAAAACATCCAAGACTTATTTTAAAGGCTGTTTTTCATCCTTAAGGAGAGAGTATATTTTGAGATAGCGTCTTGCTAAAATGATCAGCGCAAGCTGTACAGGACAATCACCAAATGATTGCGAGAAGTTCAACCTTCTCTCTCTTGTCACCAGATAGTAATGGCTCACATAAGTAACTGTCTTCGTTACCATGTCAAGATGTAATAGGCATGGTTTCAATTGTTCTTGAATCTATAGCCGCAGAAACAAAATTGTACCTGAATCTCTCTCCCTCTCTGTTTTTATTTATCATCTATATCTCAATTGTTTCTCTGTCAGTTATCTTTACCTTATTGAACTTTTTGCAACGTGCAAATTTACTTTGACTGCACCATTGCGAATTAATTTTGAAATTGAGACATTTAAAATGTATTATACTTAAGTTGCTCGTATGAATGTTGGTCTGTTGTTAGTTATTTATTTAAATCAATTAATATCAAATAGATTTTGGCAATTAGTTATTATTAGATAAATCCAAAGAATCCAATCTGTAAAAGAATCATTTCCTGGAAAATTTCTTAAGTTACTTAACCCAACTGGAATTTTTTTTGAAGGGGTATCAAATTTTCCTGAAAATATGTTTCCAGTGAACGAAAACAATGTTAGGTCCTGGAATGTTGCACATTTAAATAAAACCCCAGAATTTAAATTTTTTAATATGCTGGAAGACACAACAAAACTATTCAAATGAGCAAGCTATGAGTAGTCTCTCTCCCTCCCACCCTGTGTCATGAGAGCAGTCAGAATGTTTCACAATACCAAACTCTGGGGACAAATGGTACAAAAGGATTACATTACAATATTTAACTGCAGTTCAAAAGGTGCCAGCTAGCCTAACTTGTAAAGTCTCTAGGAAGTTGGTAGTAATAGAGACCTGGTACCAAAGCCTGCCTTCATCCAGCATGGAGGGTTATGAACTTATGGTAAAGTCTCTAGATAGTTGGTGGTGCCAACTACCCCAACTTGTTAAGGTACTAGCTAGCGCTTGTCTAGCCCATTTGCCTCTGGACCCAAAAAAAAGCACTTCCAGAAATTAAATCAAAAAATATCTGACCTGAGTCTCAGAACTCCCCCCTGCTTCTACGTGGGGTGATGCTGATACAAAAGTTGCTTCGGCAAACAGATCAACCTCAGAAAAGTCGGTGGACATTTCTGTGGGAACAGATGCCGGTGCATCCATGAGGTCACCAATCAAACTTTCTCCAAAAAGATCGCCTTGGTTAGAGCTTCCAGCAGCAGATTCTGTCAATGCAACAATAATTTAGAATTAACAGAAAAAAAACATAAACATAGATGCAGAGGATTATATATCAATTATCAACATCAACAAGGATATATATTATCAATTTTAGTATCCAATGATGTTGAAACATGATTTATGAAACTACAATAACAAGATTGAAATGGAAGGCCCTTCTTCCTGGCAATGGTTAGAATCTCGGATATTGTGTTCACCACATCTTGGCACCACTTCATATGCTTCCACGACCAACTTATTCTCCACTCATATGTGTATAAGGACACGCCTATTGAATTTTCTAACATGGGAACCGCAATAAAGTTTCTAATTTCTTCAATAACTTTTTTTTTTATACGTAAAAAGTAAAATTAAAAAAAAAATACAATAAAAGCAACGTATTTATTTTATTACACCTATGCTATCATTGTTTTAACATGTTATACATATGCATTTATAGGTTGAGTTGGGTCCTCATTATTTATAGGTTGAGATGGTTCAAAGGGGGTATGAAGAGGATTTTCTCTGGCAATAGATTCCGTTTTGCATGTTTTTTCCCTTTCAGATCAAGTGATTGATGGGATAATAGACAATAATAGTTTTAATTGAGTTTTAGATTAGAATCTGTGTCCTTTTCCAGAGGTTATGAATAAAATGACCAATCACGACTCAAATATTGTGATATTAATATATTATAGCTTATACGCTTGCTTAATTTCCATATACTATCAGATTAGCTATGGATGAGGCAACAGCTCCGCAAGCATAAGAGCGGAGCAACAATTTCATCTGACTATGAGTGTAGCAAATCTTTTAATTCTACGTATTAAAGCAAGTGCACAACAAAGGATAAAACTGCATGCAACTTCATCATAATAGTCAAAGGTGCATGATAAAGGTTACCATGTACAATAGAGCTGACCACCAAAGTGGACTGACAACTATAACATCACACAACTTTTGCTTTGAATTTCAATTATGGCTGAAAATTCATCTGCAACTCCAAAAATTTTTATATTTAATAACTTAAAGAGCAGTCACAGCATTTACTCAACACCAAGGCAATGAGGTGTCAGTAGATGTGGACCTTGATCAGTTGAGGCAAGATTCTTCTGATCAAATCATGAGAATTCCCATTCCTCCTTGCTCTTCCAACATTTTACAATACCCTTAATAGACACAAACCGTTTGGCGAACTTGATATCATTATGCAAGGCAGACATAAGAACTTTGGTTGTTTTATTCCAAGCTCGCCTCTTCCATGCACACAACATGGTGCAGATGCACAAATAAAGTATTACTGCCTTCTTCAACATTTGTATGATATTCCAGTCAACATGTCAACAAGCATTAATTCAGTCTTATTGCCTTTTTCCGCATTTGTACAATATCTCAATCTATATATCAACAGCATCTTATGTGAATGATAAAGTGTGATTGCCTTCTTTTCATCATTGCATAAACACTGGATATGCTTTAATAGACATTGGTTGAACTGGTCGTGGCACAACATTTGCCAAACAATTATTGCAAATATTTGCAATACAGGGCTTTTCTTTTATGAGTTGCATTAAGAAAAAACTAAGTTTATAAGATTTATTTTGGCCTAGAGAATACTTACTGGCACCAGAGGTTCCCCGGGGATCGAAATCATCAAATTCATCTTCATAATTATTAGAAGGTGCACTTGAGCTTTGTGATGGAACTGAAGCATACTTATCATGGTCATTACTCCTTGTTGCTGGTTTTGATGCACCAGATATTAATTTATCCTGATCCTTGCTGGAGAGCATTCATTTGCAAGATTAACAAAAAGCAGAAAATAATAAACTACAGAAGCAAAGCAACATGCAATGATTGAAGCTGTTTAACAGAATCTATAATAAATGACATAATTGTAGTAAACATACTTGTAGACAACGACCAAGAATCTAAAACTCCAAGCACAAGCAACGGCATGAATCTCTATTATAAATGACTAGAAAACAATCACTGCTACTTGATATGACTTAAATATTTCCCCAACTAAAGATAGCATGGTTCTGCTTTTTATACTACATACTTCAAAATCTGAACTCTTTGCAAACTAGTATGAACAACGATAGTAACAGTGCACACCTGTGTGTAGACCCTTTCTTCAAGCCATTCCCTTGATTCTTGCTGGTAACCCCTTCACTTGACTTGGAAAAATTATTCTTATCAAACTTATCTTCACCATATCGATCATTGTCTCCATAACTTTCCTTGAAATTATCACCATCTCTTGTGCCACCAAAACCTCCATACCGATCACCACTTTGCAAGCTGCTGCTACCAAATGAGGTTGAACTTGACTTGTACGATATTCCAGTTGATGAAAGTCCAACGTACCTTGACATGTACAAAGATACCAACTGTCATCTAATCCCACGACAAAATCTCAAGAATTTAAAGTACACGTATATAGCCCGAGTATTTGAAGAATATGCTTACTTGTCACGGTTTGCAGCAGCTTTATTTCTAACTTCTTTTATCTTATCTTTATTATTCAAAAGAGACACAATGTTTTCTACCTTCTTCCTCACATTGATTCCCATATCCTTCCCATTTAGCTCAACATATTCAAAGCTTGAGAGTGACTGCATCAAAAAAATGAAAATAAAAGAAAACATGTTTATTTAAAAAAAAAAAAAAACAGAAGAAGCTGACCTGTTTTATTATTTCTGGAGAATTTGATTGGCAAATTTAGCCCCCCCCAAAAAAAAAAAACTTACCGAGATCTGGAAACTATGTTCAATTATATCGTCAACTGCACGTTCAGATCCATGTGCCACCAAATACTCTATAACAGCCAATGCCTTTTACAGAAATTATTTCAGAAATTTCAGGAATACAAGGTTAAAAGACAATACAGGCCAAAAAAAACTTGAGAAGAGATGAAGATTATTTCCAAAGTATCTGACTGTAAAGGATGAAAAATGCAGGAATATTGTACTACCTTGTAGACAAAACGCCAGTTCCGGTCAGTTTCTTTCAATCTTGTCCAGAGAACATTCATCACCATCTGACATTCAGTGCTGGAAGATATCACAACAAATCAGCTATATAAAAGAAAAGCAAATCTCTTTTTTCTGTCACCAAAGTGATACTGGTGAAAGGAATAAGAATGTCACATAATTGGAGTAGATAAAAGACCAGAGCATACAATTTTTTTGTCGCTTGCGCTATCTCTGCCAATGCAGAACCATGAGGACCCCAAGGTTCATCATCCGTTGCATCCAATACCTGCGCCACTTTCAAGGAGTTAAGAAAACAGCAATATCACAAAGGTTGGTTTTCAAAGAGTTTATCAATGCACAATTGTTTAAACAATCTGCAATACTCAAGTTTCTATCATTATTTCACGTCTGCAGCCTAAGCCCAGCAATGGAGAAAATAAACTCATCCCATCCTACATTCTTATTACTTGTCACCTCCCTATTTACATGGAAGACATAAGTTTGGGTTGATCCACTCAGACTTCCAGGATGCAAAAGGAAGCTATGGTACTGAAGTGCGGAAAGACAAGATGCGCATCTAAAACAAAGCAGAGAAGCCACAACCAATGAGCATTTCATCATGAGCATTCTAAACTAAGAAGTAATATCTAAACCTTATAGACCTCAGCAGCAAAAGCAAAGTTTAAACATTTTTTGATGTCCAATCAATTGAAATCAATACAGGTCAGCAAAAGTAAAGTTTAAACATTTTTTGATGTCCAGTCAATTGAAATCAATACAGGTCCTAATTTCATGCCTACGGAAATACAAAACTCAAGTTCAAGTTTCTTTGAATATTGGGAGAACAATGCAGAGCACGCAAAGTTTATGAATACAGGTCCTAATTTTTTTTAATGTCATACTCCTACTGGTAAGTGGAGAAGGCCAACAGCATATAAATATCTATGTAATCAATCCTTCTATTCAATAAAGTGAAGTTTTTAAGAAAATTGGGGATCGTTTGACGTCTAATGGAGCCTTACCTTTGGGATGACTCTTAAGAATTCTAAGTAGGATTCCTATATTATTGTCTTCTTCTTAAGTTTCACATCCCCTACAACAAACCCCCCAAATCATCCAAAAACAACAACATGTTCTCCTCCTTTTTGTCCTCACTTTAACTTCTAAAATCCTAAATTCTGGGCAGGACTCCTGAAACATTCTTCTTTTTCTTTTCTTAAGTTTCACATCCCTAAAACAACACCTATATCATCCCAAAACTATACCATACCAATCCCTAGTCAATCCTTCTTACCTTTTGTCCTAACTTACACATCTAAAAACCTAAGTAGTTACCATCCAGAAATTTCAGCAACTAAATTTTGCAATTCCAGCCATCAATAATTTTTTAAAACAAAATTGAATTCCACCACTTTCCATCGAGAAGAAGGCCTTACAACCTTTCTTTTATCCTTGAACATCCTAAACCTACCAACTTTCTGTAACCCACTACACAACCAATTGTATGCTGCACTATTCTAAGTTTCCCAATGTTGTCCTACATCATTGGGAGAAAATGATGTAAGATTTGGAAACCTTTTTTTCTTTCTTTATAGGCTGACATTTAGTTATATTTGGTTACTCTAGATAAAATGAATTCATGAAAATTAAAAATGGAATACAAAATTCTCAAATTCTTGGCATAAGTTATCCATTGCAGAATAAATGCAACTTTGTAATACTAACTTTAAAAACACAAAGTTGTGATATATATACTTCCACATTTTGATTGCTACTTCAGATCTTTCAAAATCAAATGTTAAACCCAATAAGGAGGGGAAAAGAAACGTTAACTTCATATCAACGGTTCATTTTCCTTTCTTCCAACCTTGACCCCAAAGCACTGTTGATCAAATCTTCTATGAACAACAAACCAACAAATGTACGTCTGCTTTCATATCTATTTATATCTATACGATCAAAGGCAAAACTATTCAAAATACAAATAAATATATGCTTCCATAACACATTCAATCAAAAGTAGAAGGGTGTGTTAAAGTGCAAAACCTAAGGGAAGTTCAACCTTATTTCATAGACCTTCCAGGAAACTGTAGATCATGAAATAGGAATGGAAATTTGATCTGAATGTCCCCGTAACCCATTGCTGTTCCTTCTAAGAAAGATTGCAGTGATATGTCCTCTTTGTATATGATGCATGGTTCTAAATTGATTGAAATTCCAAGTCATACTTTTATTTAAAAGAAACCCACTAAAAACAAGAAATTATGAGACTGCACCCACGAAAATGTAAATAGGCAAAATGAGCACTTGTGTGATCATATTGAGAATCACTTCCCTATAGACAAACCAACCAGGAAGACCTGGACTATTGCTTACACTTAAAACGTGTTTAAGATTTTGTATGAATAAATAATGGGCTTCAAAGTTTGAAGAAGAGGGATTAAGATATAAAATTGCTGTTATGAAATTCAACGGCTCCATGGAGACTATCTACAGATATGGAATTGGCTGCCGATGTGCTCCTCAGTTAGCCTATTTTCAAGTTCAACTAAAGAGAGAAAATGATTTCCTCGCAAAAACAATCAATGCTCGGATAAGATGATTTGTAATACTAGTCCATCATTTAAATGCCATAAGTGAATGCATCTCTTCTTTCCTTTATAATTTCTTTCAGACAATCATTCTTGGTATAAACCCATGATAAAAGGCATGTCTTTTTTTCCTTCTTCTTCTTCTTTTTCTTGTGTAGGTTATAAAAGCCATGTCTTCGTTAATACAGTTTTCTTTAACTACTTCTCACTTGTACAAAAGATCAGAAACTGTGAAAAAATGGAATAGGAATAACAATCCCAAATATGTGTAATCGGGTTAAGTAACAATAGCTACTTTATGCGTGAATCAAATAAAACCCATCCACCAGCTTCACAAAATCACCAATTTTAAATAGTAATTTGCATCTAAACCAATACTATATATGCTCATAAATGAATACACACACAAACACAAGTACATGTATGAGATAAATTCGAAACTTAGTAGAAGATAGAGGTTTTACCTTCTGTTCGATCTCAGGGACCTTCAAAACTTTCAAATTTACCTCCCTCTTACTGAAATCCATATATAAACAATACATTTAAACATACACCCGCAGTGAAAATTGAACCAAACCAATTAAATTGATAAAGCATTCAAAACAATAGAGAAAGAGAGAGAGAGAGCATGAAGCTCACATTTCGCGGACTGTTTGATCAATAACCTTCATGAAATCCATCGCTGAATCTGCAATAGATAATGTGAGTAACAGATCTGAAGAAGAGCAATCACATTTGTTACGACTGGGAAAAGATCTAGAGAGAAATTGAAGTACCTTTGAGCAGATGGAGTTACAGCAGTAGGTATATAGGTTAGATCTCGCAGTGTTTACAGAATAATTTGTGTGTACATATATATATGTGTGTGTGTGTACAGAGAGAGAGAGAGAGAGGGAGAGAGGATGTTAGTGATAGGAGAGAGAGAGAAAGAGAGGCCAAAATGATCTTTGAGTGAAAATTTCGCTTCCGCTTTCACCTCGCTCCATCAGTTCCGCTTTAATTTCTATCCGAGTCGGCCAATCCGAGTCACGCGCAATTCCTCTCTAATTCTATCCGAGTCACGCGCAATTCCTCTCTAATGTAGGGTGCGGGCCAACCCGAATTCATATCAAAAATTTTACGAGTTTGGACAATATTTTTATAATATGGGTTAGATTTGAATTTAAAAAATTAATTAGAAGTTAATTAAAATTGAGCATGGGTTTGAGGAACCCCAATTGTAATTTTTTTTTTATACATATATTTATTTATTTATTTTAAATATATTGTAAATAACATTCAAATTATGATTATCTTTTATTGTATGCTAACTTAACACTTTAATTTTTAATTTGGAAATTGAACATATTAATAACTCGAATTAATTTAAATTTTTAGTTCAAAATTTCAACCAAATTTTAAAATTTAAGAATCCATTAAATTTTGATTGAGTTGCTGGAGTAGAAGTAAACATTTCATATATATTGAGCAACGTTTAAGTTGCAGCCTTAGTTATGACAAAATTTATGAAGTATTGAACATTTCAAATCTGTCCATTTGATGCTTTGTTTGACCGAAGAGGTGGAATATTTGATGGGGGAGGATATCACATGATAAAAAAAAGATTTATTTGGTATGATGGAGCAAAATAAAAGAATTTTAAACTCTTTTGTTTTGATGTAAAATATAAATATATATAAATTGAGAAGTGCTAAACATAGTCGCATATTTGATTAGTTAAAAAATAAGTTGTAGTTAATGTATTTTTTTTTATTTATTTTTTATTATAAAACTTCAACTTTAAGACCAGATTATCCTTTAAAATTATTTTCTCTTTCTTTGTAATTTTATTTTTTTTCTTTATTTTTAACAATTCTTTTTTAACTTTAGTTCTTTTTTATTGAATATATATGAATATACTTTATTCTATACTTTCTTTCATTTTTTTGTTCACTTGTTATATATATATATATGTTCCACCTTGATGGATTTTTTATTGAATTTTATGTAATTTAATTTGGTCTTAAAAGTTGAAGTTTTATTGTTTCAAAAAAATAGGAAAGATGCATTAATTACAACTTCTATAATTGAGTTTTTCAACTAATCAAATGTGGAAGCTTGCGCGATGGTGAAAAAAAATTCAAAGAAAATAAATCACGTCGAAACAAGACGTTCATATGATGAACTTTTTGTAAAAGAGTAATGATATGTGTGATGTTTCTGATTTTCAGCATTTTTCAATTTTTCATAAATTTTATTGCTGCAAGGGCAATTTCGTCTTTTCACATTTTATGTACGGGATTGTGGTTGGGTCCAATTGCATTTTGTGCATTTTAATTTATGTGGATTAAGTAGTATTTATGTGGTGGTGCATCTATTTGTATATATGGTGTAGAAATTTAATCAAAAGAAAAGTAAAAAACATAAAATGGTATTAGTGGGCCCCACCACTAACCACATAAGTGGTCTTGAGACAACATTTTGTCTCAAAATTTCTCACTCTCCGTAGCTCTCTCTCTTCTTCTTATTTCTCTTCATCTTTTCTTTTCTTTTTGGAACCAAGCTTTGAATCAAGATTCCATCCTTGTTACTTGGAATTTTTAAGTGTCGTTTGAGGCAAAACGAAAAGCACGATGAGCTCTACGCGTGAGTACCAACAATTTCAGCTTTGGGTCTCCCTTTGGGTTTCGAACTTCTTGACCCATTTCAAGGGTTTTGCGCAATTAAGAGGTAGGGACTTTCTAATCCACATATTCTTGCACTTTTGTGAGTCAAATTACTTGAATTGTGTCTTAACATGATTATTTGTGCTAATTGTAGTTTAAAGTGATTTGATTGTGTATATGTGGTTATGCAAGGACATGTATTAAATATATTGTGTGAAAAGCATGCTTATGTGATAAATTTCTATGCCTAATATGTTGTTAACATACTATGAATGATGGATGAAAGATTGCCTCATGGTGTTTATGTGAAAATCCTTCATTATTATAACATTAAAAGTATGAGACATGCATGTACATCATTGGATTGCATGATGGGTAATGTTTTGAATAAAGTAAAAGGGGATTTTCGGGAGAAAATTGTTTTAAATCGGTTTTGAGAAAATCCGGTAGCCGCTGGGGTACCAAAAGGCCGGAGTGTTAATATAGCCTAGAGGGAACTAGGGAGTCGCCCTAGCGTGGTTGAGCTAGCTGGGCCTCATAATGACGCCGCGGGGGTACCAAGGGTCAGAGACACTAGCCAATCTTTTTCTCGTGTCGCTGCGGGGTCACCAAAGGGCGGGTTATATTAACAGTTTGATAGTGATGGTTTTAAATGTGAAAATGGAGAGCGACATCGGCATGCATTGCATCCCCATTGCATCATATTATTTATGTTGAGATTGGAAACCATATTATATTCTTCTTAACATTGTATGACCCCGATTCCCATTGTTCTATTATTTGTATTAGATTTACGGGGACTCAAGAGGTGTGTCTTAGGCGCCACTTACTAAGCAAATTGCTCACCCCACCTACTTAACATTTTTCAGGCCACGGTAAAGAATTAACAGATGGAAATACACCTCAAGCTTGAGGGGACTTGAAGAGTACTTTGGATGTAAATTTTGTAGAACTTGAACTCGTTTTGTAAGCATATATATAACAGATGTAGTAACTTCATTTTAGTATGTAAAGGATAATGTAACTTGAAGCTTGAATCCATTTTGATGTAAATTACCCATGATGTAAAGCCTAAATTTAAAACTCATGTAATTGTATCAAATGATGTTGCAAGGTGATTATGTGATCATGTGTTAGTACTCTAGTCCATGATTGTTGATGATACATTTTTGATTGTTTAGTTCGGATTTGGACCATTCCAAAGTTCCTATTTCAGTTTCCATTCATTTATAAAAAGAGTAGCACCTTAATAACAGGTTCAGGACTCGAAGGAGCCATTTTGGTCGACCGAAATGGCACATCGGTCGACCGAACCTCTTGCAAGCTCTCAGCATCTCCTGTTTTGGTCGACCGAAATGGGGTTCAGTCGACCGAACCATCTTGCTGCTCTCGGGATCTCACTGTTGGACTTTTGGTTTTATTTGGGGTGTGCTTTGGTCGACCGAAGCTCTCCATCGGTCGACTGAAATGCACTGGTTGGTTCCACTTTGCCTTATTTCCTTGTTATTCCACTTTTGAGTCTCGAGGCATGTTTTGGAGCCATTGGGAAAGCTTAGTTCGATCCTAATGATGATGTTTGACTCTATAAACGATGAGTTAGACCTAGGAAACCTCGGGTCCGAGTCAAGACCCGACTAATGGTTCGGACCTCCGAGTTCGGGTTGTTACAATATGCATGCTGATGAACCCGCCCTCAGTTAGAGTAATTTAAATTTTCAATTTTATTAAATAGCACCTAATTAGTAATAAATTAAGACAGTATTTATCTTTCAAAGTGTTTAAGTCAATAATAGACAATCAATCGTTAATAAAATCGATTTAGAGCTCCTAAATTACTTGTTTTTTCTTAAAAAATTAACTACTAGATTTAATTTTTAAATTGATATTATATATTACTTCTTATTTTAAGTGTTTTTATCCTTTTTACATGTAATTTAAAGAAATTACTTTGAATTTTTATCAGTTTGTAAAATAAATACAGTAATTAATTTTTGAACTAAAATAAAATTTTCTTTCTTTATAAAGTATGTAAATTTGTAAAAGACGAAGAAAAGAACGAAAGAAATGAGAGAAGATAGGTGGATTATTTATAAAAGTTTTGAATTAAATATTATCTTAAATTGTATAAGTTTTAAATTACAATACTACCATCTATAAATTATAATATTATTAAATATAATGATAAAAATAATTAAATTTTATTTATTTATTTATCTCTTAACGAATATAATAAATTTATAATTATAAATTTATTTTCACTTCTTCAATCCAACTGAAAAAAAAAAAAAAAAAGGTGCCCAATTCCTTTTTTCATCCATCATTTCTCCCTTCCCTTCCATCCAAAATTTTTTTTTTCTTCTTTTATGCCGAACAGAGTTCATTTAATCTAATGTTGGACAAATAAGTTAACGTCACTCCTCATTCATTCCATTATTTCCTTCTCTCTCATCCACTCCTTTCCATTATCCATCAACCACCTTTCCTCCCATTCCCTTTGTTGCTCCAACCAAACAAGGCGTTGACTCTTTTACCCTTGAACGATGATTTGTCCGTCACATAAAGATTTCTCACAAACCGTCACCCACTCTCCGTTTTCATAAAGCAATCAGAGAGACAGCTTTTCGTCTCCAAACGCATAGCTTTTCTCCGACTACAAACTCAAATTCCACCCAAATTGATTCTCTCACTCGTCGTTTTACTTCAATCAAACCCTAAATCTGATTTTCGCTGACAGGTCAGTTTTCAATTCTTCTTATATACAAAACACGTAGATACATATACATATATATTTATATCTATTTATTTGGTATGTATATGACCTTGAAGATCTATGTTACTTTTAACGGATCGGTGGATTACATAAAATGATTAAATTACTTTGATGTTATTGCAGGGTTTGAATAATTTGATCATCTTGATTGTGTTGGAGCAGATCATAAAGTTGGATCAGTAAACAAATAGATCAGCCATGTTTAATCGAATGTTTGGGAAACCTAAGCAAGAGGCAAATACTGTAGCAACTTTAGACAAATTAAATGAGGTATGATTTTGATCAGATTCTGTAACCATGAATTGGTTTCTTGATTTAATTGATTTTACATATGTGCTTGTGGTCCATGTAATTTTTTTTTTGGCAGAAGTCACTATACAATCTATATGGGATTTCAGATTTAAAAATCATAATTTATCGATTTATTTTATTGATTTTTGATATAAAATTGTTCATCAGGAAGCGTCTAAATGAACTTCTCTATTGTGGTTAACGTGAAATTGACTTGGTTATATGTAAATTACAACTTCATTCAACTTTTACTTTTTTTTTCTTCTTCTTCTAGATTTACTGGACTGCACATATTTTATATGTCATGCTTATCCATCTCAATGCTTGATGTTCATCTTATTATTGATAGTCCTACTCATCAAACACCATTGCGTATATTTGCATGTATAACGTGCAAGGTGCTAAACAGAAGTGATCGATGTTGTTTGAAATTAGTGAATAGAGATTGGCAAATTATTGAGTTAATACGGTCCGAAGATTTCTTTAATTAGGCAGACTTTTTTACATTATGTGGCAGATGTTGTTTGAAAGTCGGGAATAATGATCAGCAAATCTAGATGGAATATGGTTTAAAGATCCCCTTTCATTAGTATGTATGCTATTCTCATTGATTTGCAGCAATAAAAATGCAATGCATGTATAACTAGAGTTCTTAAGTGACCCATGTATTCTTACAACACAGTCAACTAGTCAAGCGAATTTTCAGTAATTAATTAATTGTTTGTCTGTTGCTCGGCTTCTATTATCCACCTTGGAAAAATTTGGTCATGCAGAATGCTTTAAACTTTAACAATGGGTATTAGCCTGGCTGATGCTGCTAGCGTAAGACTTATTATTCTTATTCCTCTTATATTAGATTAATTATTGTATTATGGGAGTCACAGTTTTCCTAATCTACTATTAGATGAACCATTCTTTGCATGCTCATCATGCTTATCAGATTTTGTCAACTTGACATCCACACATTCAAATTTTATACCATAAAATAACTTTGATTTCAAGCATATTGATGGGGCATCTTCTAATTTTCGTGCTACTTGAAATTTCATTAGTTTGGAATTTATGACAGGACAGTGCAGTCCAATGGTGGATCGTTTACTTGAAATTAAATGGAGCTAGGTAATTTGATGGGTGTTAAGAGTTGATTTATTATTAGGACTTGTCGTATGGAGGGTTTAGAACTATTTTCTTGACGCCAATGACATTTTTTTTGAACCCGATTAACTGAACAGGCTCTCTGGTGTCTGTCTGCTTTGGTCAATTATTTTACTTATCCTTTATTACCTAAGGAGGCTGGAAATTTTTGTTGCATATAGGCGTCTTTTGTTAGGAACTGGGACCTTCTTTAGTAATAAATTCTTTGCCATGTCAGCAAGCAATAAAGTGTTTCTTTCCCCATGAAGGGGCTAATTTATATTTTTCATGACAACATAATGCTTCTTGTTAGCTTTATTGCATCATTTTCCTTCCATTTGCTAAAATATTGTTTTGGTACTACATGCAGACTCTTGAAATGCTAGAGAAAAAGGAGAAAGTTCTTATAAAGAAAGCTGGTGCAGAGGTTGAAAAGGCGAAGGAATTTACTAGAGCTAAGAACAAAAGGGGTACGATCATAATAGTTTGTAATCGTTACCTATGAAAGAACATGTTTTGTTTTAAGGGTTTTTTGAAAACTACTCAAGATAGATTAAGGCTGTCTGTTCTTCTCCACTAGAATGTCGAATTTGTAGCTTGATTTACAGGCTAGATGCTTTAGTATGGTATTTTATCGTGTTGATTACTTAATGAGATTATTTCATTCTATTGTGCTTTATTTTACATGTCAAAGGGGTCCAATTTGTTGAGTTTTGTTTTGTGTTAGGTAATTTTGTCTTTCACAAAATAGAATTCTTCAAACAGATGACGTCCTTTTCTTTTATAATGTTTCGTTTCCTCTATCTAGTAGTGTTTCTATCTAAATGATGAATATGTACCTTCAAATTAAGGGTTACAATATATCATTAGTAGGATGTCCAAACACCCTTCAAAGTCATCTGACTTCTCACTTGATCTTGGTTCATTATATTTAGTTTTCTCCATATTTACTCTCCTAACAATTATTTGTTATTGCCTTTTGTAATGATATTTCCTGTTAAAATAGTTCACGGGAAAGCGATTATTGGGCTTTTCTAGAAAGTTATATTGTTTGTAATTACCTCCTACTCCTATTATTTTGCTCCTGCTTCCCGCTTCCATATCTTATAATCCCAATCTTGACTTATTCACCATGATTATGTTGTGTTATCTTGATCTAGATGCTATGTCATCTGCACTTTGGTATTTGGAATTCTGTTTATGCATCAATAATATGAAAAAGGAATGATGCAGTAATTATGACATTATGTTGCTCTTTCTTTTGAATTGCTAATGCTAAAGATGCATTTACAAAAGCTTTTGCTATTTGTTTTACGGGAAAATATCACTTACCTCCCTCGAGGTTAGGCCTAATTACACGTGTTACCCCTAACATTTCAAATATTACAACGCCTTCCCTCAACGTTAGCTCGGTCATAACACTTTCCCCCTCCAGGTGAAAGTCAACGTTGGTCAATGACCCTTTTTTGATGATGTCAGACATTTTGAGGGTGAAAGACCACCTTTTCCCTAAGAAAGATTGCAAAGACATTTACATCCTATTTTGTAATAAAATTACTTATATACCCTCAATAGAAATAGAAAACAGGAAAAACAGTAATGATTAAAATACCCTCTGTTATCATTTTACCCATAGACCCATTTATTCTCTCTGAATATGGAGACTCTTGTTGCGTACAGTACCATCACCAACCACTTCTTTCACTCCATCACCACCTCCATTATTCTCAAGACCCATTTCTTCTCTCTCATTCAGAACTCCACCAACACAACCAGCATCATCATGGTCATCATTAATCAAAGCATCATCATTCTCTACCCCTCTTCCTCCAAATACCTTAAATCCCAAATTCTTTAAACCCTAAGCCCCTTCCCTTTCTCTCTCCTCAAAACCACATTCGTCGCCACCGTTGCCACCACCGCCCTTATCTTTGCGCGCTTCAATGCTAAACCTATCATTGCCGCCCCATTTTACCCCACCCGCCGTCAAAATCGCACCGTTTCGGAGCAAGTGAGAGAAAATGCAGATGGATTTGCCGGTGAGGACAATCAGCCAAACCAAACCCAATCCTCTGACCTCGCCTACGCAATCGATTGGTTCCTCCACAAACACATGGCAGATCACTGCCGGAATCGATGGACGCTGTGGAGGTATAGACGTCATGGTCGTCGGAATCTAGAGAGCTGCCCCAATCCCCATAGTCGCCGATGAGGTAAGTATGGCGACGGTGACGGGAGTGAATAAGTGAGCGTTGTGTTTCTGATTTTATATTGAGTAATGAGTTAATTGTGGTGGTTGTGGCTTATCAAAAAATAAAAATAAAATTGTGGTGGTTGTGAGGGTGGAGGTGGGGATGTGGTGGTGTCAGTGGCAGATCATGCCGGAATACGTGGTCGTCCGGGTGGAGATGGAGTCAGTGGTTTGGGAGCGGGGATTGTGGTGGTTGTGGGGGCTGTATGTGGCTGTTGTTGTGGAGTTGGGAGTGGTGGTGGTTGTGGTGGTGTAACTAGGCCGACTTTGATGTGTTCAACAATGGTGGCAAGTTCAGGTCTGGGATCAGATCAATCTAAGGCTCATAATGTGTATATGGTTGGGTTGGTTCAATAAGGGGATTAATTGGAAGCCTTTGTTGAAGTTCAGTCGCAATAATATAAATGATTTGCGTACATATCGGTGGCGGTGGGTAGTGGGTTTTGGGCTAAGAGGGGTGGCCGGAGTTGGTGATCGTTGGTAGTAGAAATGGAAATCCTTCAGCTCTGTCAATGGCGAGAGACAGAGGTGTAGCTTTCCCCCAAAAGAGTGATTAACCCTATATATATATACACACACATACATATATCAGTGAACATATATGCGTATATATCACAAAATTTCTATAAAGACAGTAAAAAAAAAAAAAATTATAAATTCTATTTGCTTCCACCAGTTCAGATCTTACCAGTTCAAATCTTCGACTTAAAGGTATTGATAAAGTTGAAAGAATTCCGTTTGGTTGCAGAGAAAATGCAAGAAAATGAAGCAGATATACACATATATGTATAGAAAAGCTTTAGGTTGGATAACAGGGTCGGGTGCACAAGAACTGAGAATCAAATTACAAAGGATTGAATTCTAAAGGTCACGGTTAAAAGTGTCACTCGATAAAATAATTTCACAACATGTCATATTAATATAATAATAGAGGGTATATTAGTACTTGCACATGAATTTCAAACGGGACCCACTGCCATTCACATGGGAGGGAGGTCACTGTAATTTTTGAAACATTAGGGGTACCGTGTGTAATTAAGCCTAACCTTGAGTGAGGTAAGTGATATTTTCCCTTTGTTTTACTGTTTCGTTTTGGAATATTCTAACTTAATGCTCTTATTCAGCGGCAATACAATGTTTGAAGAGGAAGAGGCTCTATGAACAGCAAATTGAACAGCTTGGAAATTTTCAATTGCGCATTCACGATCAGGTGCTCTTGTAGTGTTTTGTTATGAAACATTCTAATCTTTTGTTAATCTGTTTAGTATATTTCATAAAGATATTTGTAAATTTAATAATGTTGCCTTTGTATTTCAGATGATAATGCTAGAAGGTGCAAAAGCGACAACAGAGACTGTTGATGCTTTGAGAACTGGAGCATCTGCAATGAAAGCCATGCAGAAGGCAACGTAAGTTGCATCTCACTATATTTATCTTCCACTGAGACTGAGTTGCATTATTGAGAATATACTATCAGCCCATTGTTGCGTTATCCAGAATGTATTTGAATTCTTATAATTTTGAACTCTTCAATCCACAAGAATTCTTTCTTAGTAATAGTCTTTGAGCAAACCTTAGCTTTTTCAAAGAATAGCTTTGTTCCTCCTATTTCTAAATCTATTGAAGAGAGCAGCTGCATAGAGAGTAAAGATTGGGTCTTTTGGCCTGGGACCCATGAGCATAATTTATGGATTCATGAGAACTTTTGTTTTGGGAAGTATGGGTTGACAAGCATGAGGATGCAAGGTTTGAGTCTTGTATTAATACTAAAGTTTGTGTCTGTCTCTAGTCTTACACTCCTAGCATCCATATAGTTGGGGCCAGCAACGGGTCATGGCATTTAGGGTAGCTTCTGTACATTGAGCTGGAGGAAATGAGAAAAGTTTCTGATGGAAAAGCAGCCAGATCCTGCTCAAAGAGAGGACACTTCGCATTATCCACTTGGAACCTTTCTGCTAGGATTGCTGTAAGAGGGTGAGCATTGCATGGAATACTCCATATAAGAATTTTATATCTTTAATATGTTGGCTTTCCATAGCTTTTCCCATTTCTGAGCTTTTGAAATGGACTTATTTGAGAATTCACCAGAAGAACATAGGAAGATCCCATCTTGTTAGGAAAGTCAAATACAGGGGAAGGGATTATCTTTGGTGCAGGCAATAGATAGTTGATTGGAAAATGCTTGTAGCCGGTCCTCTCTCCATAGATGAGCTTATTCTTCTTCTTCTTTTTTTTTTGATAAGTCTCTCCATAGATGAGCTTCTGAATATTATATCAGCTCTAGCTGAGAGGAGCATCAAATCACAGGATGGAATTGCTTTGAGATTTTCTCAAAAAGACACCCAAGTATTTGTCCTAAAATGAACAGATTTACCATTAGGTCCATTACCAATGATGATACCTGTCCCTCTAGAAATAAGTTATCTGCAGCTTAGGATGCCTTCTTTGTATACGAGTTAAAGGGTTCTTCCTACAGGCACGAATAAGAATCTTCTGTAATATTATTGCTTTATATTGCGTCAAACACAGCTCAATTTTACATGCTATGTAGGATAAGATATACGGACCCATTTTTAGATTAATATTTGGCATGCTAATTATTGTTGAAGAGAAAGTGCATTTGAGACTAGTACATGTCAATCTAGTGTTCAGATCTTGGTCTATGGCATTCGCAGCCTCAATATAAGCAAGGGGTGCGACCCCGGACAGGTTGGTGAGTTGAAGGGTCAACTCAAGCTCAACCTGAGGTATATAATTTTCAACCTAGGCCTGGACTCAACCTGACCGTAAACCCGAGGAGTCTAACCCGAACAGAACCTGTCGGGTTATGGTAAGGTTGTCGGGTTTATTGGGTTTGTAGTCAAAACTCAAAAAATAGAAGCAAATCAAAATGTATAAATATAATTAAATCAGTGGAGCATAAATTAAAAACTAGATCCGCAAAATTCTTTCCAAACAAAAACCACAATTATTAATTGTCTATGAAAGATTTCATAATTATTAATTGTCTACGAAATATTTCATGTTTGTAATCTATATCACAAAGTTGATCAGTTCATAACAAGGTGGAGATCAACCAACGAGAAGGAATTGAGGTTTCGACCATGCTAGATATGGTTACAGAACATCTGTGCGGCTAGGCTTAAATTCTGTCTCTGTCCACTGACAAAAAGGAGCCAAAGTGTGGAAGTGCCGAATAGCTACCAGCCAACTACTCAAAACCCAAAAGCCTAATGTTTCTTCCTTTTTATTTTTATTTTTATTTTATTTTTATCCCCCTTTCAAAAAAGTGTTCTTTCACAAAACTCTCATTAGTAGGTTAGAAACTAAACAAAATACTCATGACTAGGTACACAACCTTAAAACTCCACGATTCTGAAATTTTGAAATAATGTTTCATAATGTTACAAAAAGAATACTAAGAGAGTTTTATGTTCAGTTATATTATAATCTTGAAATATTATGCATGTTCAATCATATGTGTCAGATACATATCAATACCCGTGTTGCAGTGTTGTGCATCAAACATGGGTACATTATGGATCTTTTAGGAATTCATGCAAGTATCACATACGTTTCTCTATATATCATGATAAGAGATGTACCTTCTGCTAATTCATTGCTCTTTTACAAATTTGCTACTACTTGAGTAGGAAAATTTCCTTTTTATCATGTTCATCTGATAGCTTCTTGAAAAACAGGAACATTGATGATGTGGACAAAACGATGGATGAGATCAATGAGCAGACCGAGAACATGAAACAGATTCAGGAGGCATTGTCAACACCTATTGGTGCAGCAGCCGATTTTGATGAAGTATGGTTTTTATAGTTTTGGAATTTTATATGGTGCAATTCTTCCTTTGAAGAAAAATACAATTTACATCTGTGTTATTACAGGACGAACTCGAAGCAGAGCTCGAAGAACTGGAAGGAGCTGAGTTGGAAGAACAACTTCTCCAGCCTGCCACTACTGCCCCTGCTGCTCCAGTCCATGTGCCTGCGGGTAGGCAGCCAACACGTCCAGCTCCTCAGAAGAACACAGCTGAGGATGATGAACTTGCGGCATTGCAGGCAGAAATGGCACTTTAAAGAGAGGTCATTTACACATTTTTTTTTTTAATCTTACAATTATGTTCCTCAATTTTTACTGCTGAAGTAGTAATAGCACTAAATTCTCATTAAAATTCGAAAGTCATTGCTCAGGGCTACTGGGATTGAGGCATTTGCATGCTTGGGAAGGGTACCATTTCAAGGCACAGTTATGGACGCATCTTTGTAATGAAAAAGGATGTTCCACATAAAAAGATTAAAGAATTCTAAGTTGATGACTTATCTCTTGTAATTCTAAAGATAATTGCAGGTGGTGTTTGGATGCCTTCCCAAACTGATTGACTTAGCTTGTACGTAACACGTAAAAAAGAAAATATATCTTGTATATAATGTTGAACTACCAATTGCCGCAAAAGTTTGCTGTTAAGGAATGAGTCCAACAATGTATATCCAAGTTCTTTTCCGAGGTCCTTGTGGCCTAGTGGTATCTTTTCTTCCTCCCAAAGTGGATGGTGAGGGTTCGAGTCCCCAGAGGGGAAAACTAGGTGTGTGTGTGTGTGTGTTTATTGGTGATAAAACATATAAATATATCCAAGTTCTTTCAATATCCTCCTCCACATGCTAGATGATCTCCCATGGAGAGGACTTGCACACTAAACCTAGAACAGAATTAGGGAACAAATGTAGAGGTGGGGACTTCAACCTAAAACCTCCCAACTAAGGTTCTGATACCATGACTACCAATTGCCCCAGAAGTTTAAGATGTTAAGAAATGGACCTGACAATGTTTATCAAGCTGCAATACATAAGTAGTTGACGAGTCCTTTTGTGCTGCTGAAACACATTTTTCATGAAGGGTACTCCCTTTTAGGATTCCAAAAAATGACTTGATTATATTTATATCTATATATATTAACATTATCATTTGTTGTATTTTCACCTACTTCTGCATTCATTCTATGTAAAAGACAACAAAATTATCATCTATATATCATTCATACTCCGTTGCATGTCGCCTTTTCTTTTTTACTTTCTTCGTTTTATATTAGTCAGTGAAACTTTGAAATTGTAAATGATCTGAACGGAGATTTTGTTGCATTGGCACTTCGAAAATAATTTGATTCAGTTTTATTGGTTGTCCTTGCAGTTATCAGTACCAAATCAGAAGAGATTGCGCGAAGAAGATTGGTTTGTCCCTGGGGCTGCCTTTGCTCTCCATTCCCAATTTTAATTTTCTTGGTGTGCATTCACTAGTAAGGAAAACATTGTACAGATGCCCTTAAAAGTAAATTATATTTCATCTTAAAATCTGGATTCTACCTCGGTAGTTTTCCGAACAAGTTTGTGAATTTTTATTCATATATTTTTCTTGGAACATGTAATGATATTCTTCAATTTCAAGAATTCTTAAAATAAATATAAAAATCTACTCAGAATGGAGACTGCTGCACCCTTTAGGCTCCTTTAAATTGAATTTGTCACATTTTACTCCACATTTTACCCATAAAATGAAAAAAGTGTTATTTCGCTTTTTTCAGTGCTGTGTTCATGTCACCATTTTTTGCTATTAATTGTGATGAGATCAATTGGACATGGGGTGTCAGTTCCAGGAAATGAAATCCCAAGTTGCAGGAAGTAACAACTTGCTTGCCTTCATTTTTGGAGAATTACATATGTCTTTGCAACTAAATTATATGGTCTAAATTTAAGGCTTTTTTTTTTTAGAAAATATTTTCATTTTTCAGGTAAAATATTCTTTTTATTTTTATTTTTCGCAAAGGCCTAAGTCGAAATTGAGGTGAAGTCCATCTGGCGGTAGGTGTTCATAAATTGATGAATAAGTTATTTATGTTGAATATCACAATGTTTTTTTTCTTCCTAAATGTAATTTAGGACAACCAAACACCAGAAGATCATTCTACTGCATTAGATGATTAACAGAGTTCTCTTATTTTTTTTTGCCTTCTCTTTTCTTTTTATTTTTCTTTTGAAAGTTCAACATGGTTTTGCAGATCATTCTACTGCATTAGATGATTAAGAGAGTTCTCTTATGACAAGCAATGACCTATCCTCTCCGTTGATATCAGTCGCAATGACCTATCTTCTCCGTCGATATCAGTTGCAATGACCTATCCTATCCGTGGCATGGTTCTAGATATCAGTCTCGGTGTAATAACGGTATCAAATTTTTGTAAAAGGGTTACGAACTGATACGTCGCGTATTGATCGATAGAGCAAACTATGCATTAGGATCGGCTGATAGAGCAAACTATGCATCGGGCTCTCACAACACTCCGCACTATTTAGACTCGAAGTAACAATTTATCACTCTTTACGTGGAATTTGACATCTTCAAAATGGTGTCATTGGTACACTGAAAGTCTTTATTTTATCCTACGTAGAGATCGACAACTTCACAATTTTCTGCACAAGCAAACATCATCAACTTCTGACTTGTGCATGCGACCAAATTAAAGGTCCCTCTCTTAACCACCAAAAAAAAAAAAAAAAAAAAAAAATCCTTATTTGAAGGTTTCAGCGTCAAAGAGTACGGCAAGAGACTTCAAAAAAAAAAAAAAAAACAAACTTTGGTAGCACTGATTAACAATTGAATTCAATAGGGCCGTGCAGTCGGGACATGTTGAACAAATTCGAAAAATCATTTTCTTTTCCTTTCGTTTTTTTTTCTCTCTCGGTTCTCTTTTCTTTCCATTTCCTCTTGCTTCTTCCATAAAATATTATATAATAATAAAAAAAAAAAACTTCAAAGTAGGGCCATTATGAAGGCTTAATCACAAAGTAAAGAAGTCAAAATATGTAACTTATTGGAGAGTCAAATTATGTGATCACTGTTAGAAAATATAAAAATAAATAAATTCATTTGTAATAATAAATTAATTGTGAATTACATAATTTTAATTAGTCTTGTAGATAGGTAAGTAATATTGTTTCCAATAGATTGAATGATCGATTATTGTAGTGTTTTTCATAGGATTTTAAGGTCTTTGACTTTCAACTAGCCCCTATTTTTTGCAAAGATCGAAAGTCATAGCTTTTTAATTATAGAAGAACATCAATGTTGATTAGTATTATAAGAAAGATTCTTGATCTAAAAATCATATAATTGGAATTGACTAAACCAATCAGACATGTTACCAAACATGTTCTAAATGGGTGTTTTACAATAATAAATTGCAGTAATGCTCATTTAATGAGTGATTTTTAAAACTATTTCTCAATCTTTTTGTTGTTGGACCCATTCTTCTTGTCTAAATTTAATTTTTTATTTTTATTTTCGAAACCTTAAGCAACCATATTATTGCGCTTTGCAAGGCTCCAACACCCTATATCTTTTTTGGAGAGGGGAAATCATACCATCTAAATTAATGTTCATTGGTCTTTTTGTTAATTTTAATACTATATATTGCTTTGGTAATAATAAGGAAAACAAATACGGAGTATTTTACTTCATGAAATATGAATTGTTTTATTTCAAGTCACACAATTCTTTTAAATGGACGTCGCTCTCACTCTATTTACGATTTTATCGTTTTCACGCTCCCGCTTTCACTATGTGTGATTTAAGGTTTATTAGTTGAAAATCCTTAGTTAAAAGTGAAGTCACGTATTAATGGAGATGGCAACAGGCCGGTTTGCCTAAATCCGTATCCGCCCCGTTTAATTATGGACAAGTCCATACCCGTTCCATATCCGTGACGGTTTTAAATTTCACAATCCATACCTACCCCGTTTACATTTTTTTTTTTATATAAATAAATTGATAAAATCTATAAATTCTATACAATGTAAATAATGATATATATATGTGTGTGTGAACACATCATTGTGCGTACATACATATATATATATATATATATATTTTAAATAAAGTATATAAAGGGTGGTGCGGGATGGGACGATGCTTCTTAAAACCCATACTTATCCTATAACTCGCGACGGATTTAAAATCTAAATCCATATCCGCCTTTACGGTACATAAACATTTTCCATACCAACGCCATTAAGGGCGAGACGGGACGGTACAAATAGTCATCCCTCTGTATTAAGGGTGACTTTTATGCAATTTTATTTTCAAATTCAATTATGCTTTACTAAAATCACAAGATTCACAAGTTTAAACTAATATATGACTTTTAGTTTTAATTCTAAGACATCAATTTCGTGCTACAAACACACAATAATGCCATGGATGAATCTCAAAGTTTGGTGCCCACTTTTTATTTGAGAGAGCCTTCAATTAATGAACCACAATTGTTGTTCAAACTCTGGGCACAATAACACAGTAGTTCCCTGTCTCCCATGTACCGGATAATTGAGTTTCAAATCAAAATTTTCATTGGCTTTATATGTTAATATAGACAACATTAATGTCAATTTTCTATTAATTTCATTTGTTTTATTTTATTTTTAAGACCCAAAAAGATAATAGAAAAATTGATCTTGGGCAACTTGAAGATATAATATCATATTTTGAAATTTTATTAATAAGCATGATCTTTACCTTTGACTTTAGAAAACCCATTATGATAAGAACAGAAAAGGAAAAAATATATAATTTTCATATATATGATCAAATTTACTCTTTGTATTTTAAAATATTAAGGCATATTTTAAAATATTGAGCAAGCAAATATCCACCATCAAGTTTATTTAATTTTGAGAGAATCTACAGCCTTATATGAAGTCATATATATTTATTGCTGAAGGATTGAAGAACAAAGAGTTACTTTAATTTTGCACAAAGAGAGTGATAATAAAGATCTTTTATCTCCTTTTTTTTAAAAAATAAAATAAAATTTGAGGAATATAACAGTATAAATGTTAAGGTGAAGGACATAACTACTATTTTAAAAGTCAATGGAAGATCATGTTTTATAAATTGAAGTAGATTTATACTAAAGATTATTTAAATAATCTATAATTTTTTTATTAAGATACTGAAAGTTGAGATGTTTAAGGACATTGGATATTTAAAATCAAGGGATTATTACAAATAAATGGTACCCATGTTTATTATTTAATGGAGTTAAAGTCTTATAGAAGTTGACCAAAATGCTGGCGTGAACATAAAAAAAACACTGTTAACTCTCAACGGGGTACTACTTTTTGTGTACATAGGTACCACTTTTATTCATATAGATACCATTTTTTGTGCAGATAGGTATCACTTTTTGTGTATCAGGTACTACTTTTTTGTGCAAAATAAAAAGTGATACCTCAGTTAGGGTAAACGGTATTTTTTCATGTTTTTATTTTTTTTAAACTATGAGACTTTGACTCTATTAAATAATATATATGAGTCATTAGCACCATTTACATGTAATAATCCCTAAAATCAATATAAATAATGCTTTGAAATTCAATGCATTAAAAAATGTATAAATAAATAGCAACTATTTATGATTAATCCTTGAAGAAAAATTCTCAATTTTAAGAGAGGACACTTTATGAATATAAAGTATCACATAAAAAATGTTCTTTACTTTTCAAGTTTTCATGAATCTGCGACACATTCAAACATTACACACACAAATGTGCGTGCGTGTGTGTGTGTGTATATATATATTCCCCTGCTTTGAACTGGCCACACCCACACCCCCATGCAACTAGTGTGACATTGACCAGCAACAAACAAACAGACATGCTGATGACAATCCTCACGTTCATGTCCTTGTCACTCAACTAAAAAGTAAGCACCCCATATCCTAATACAATTTTGACAAGTTCCCATCAAACCTTAATCAAAACACACACCACACACCGTCACACACACACAGAACCAGTCTGAAATTTATATAACCTTCATGCACTAAACTGAAATCTGAGTTAAACATCATATGTATAATATATAAAAGACAACTACTTAATTTCAGAGTTTTCATTTAACCACTTGATTTAATTTGATTTACATTTATGTCACCCTCAATTTCAGTACTTGTTAGAAACACTTTGTTGACACATTCCTTGTGCTTTCATGTCAGCATATGCAGATAGAGCTCCAACTTCGCTGATTGTCTCTTGAGCCCACATGCCATTGACAAGGTCATGTGACATTCCAGTCATGAGGCCAAAATCCGTCGAAAACGCGCCATTTCCGAGCCATGACACATCACTGTTGTCCACGCCAAAACTGTTCTGTGCAGTGGCATTGAATTGGGACAGTTCCGGGAGGTCTAGAACCGGGAAGTGAATAGGGTTGTGAACCATGTCGACATTTGGTCCATCGCCAATGTGAGTGAGTGCAGGCATAGTTGGACCACTTTGGGTTGGCATTGCTGAGAAACAGAGACCATATGGTTCAATTTTGGGCACCAGTGGTGTTGAACTTGAGCCAAGAAGGGTATAATTGTCCATTTTAGCTGCCAATTGTTTTTTCTTCAATTTGGTGTTCCAATGGTTCTTCACATCATTGTCTGTTCTTCCTTGCAATTGAGAAGCTATGACAGACCATCTGATCAAAAAACACACTTGTGAATTAAATAAGTTGAAAATTAGAAATTATAAACACAAACATAGGAAATAACAAATTTTGTGTGTGTGTGTTTTTAAAACCACAATTGTGAAGTTAATTAGATGAGAAATGAATGAGAAACAATAAACACAAACATAGGAAATAACTATTATGTTTGTGTGTGTGTGTGTTTTTTTTTTTTTAAAACCACAATTGTGAAGTTAATTAGACGAGAATGAGAAACTATAAACACAAACATAGGAAATAACTATTATGTGTGTGTGTGTTTATAAAGACCACAATTGTGAAGTGAATCAGTTTAAAATTAGAAATTATAAACACAAACATAGGAAATAACTGTGTGTGTGTGTGTTTCTAGAAACCACAATCGTGTATTAAATCAGTTGAGAATGAGAAATTATAAACAAAAACATAGGAAATACCTATTGTGTGTGTGTGTGTGTGTTTATAAAGACCACATTTGTGAAGTGAATCCGTTAAGAAATGAGAAATTACAAACACAAACATAGGAAATAACTACTATGTGTGTGTGTGTGAACTTGCCTGCTGCCTAATTTGTTATAGAGGTCACAAATGGTGTTGTCTTCCTCTTCAGTGAAGCCTCCATGTTTGATGTCTGGCCTAAGGTAATTGAGCCATCTCAGACGACAACTCTTGCCACAGCGCTTGAGACCTGCACCGGGAAAAGATCGATCAATGGGGTGAGATTGAAGAAGAAGAAAGATTGATTTGGAAAATGAAATTTGAATTAATAATATTGGAAAAAGTGGTGCAACTTTGAATTAAGGTCATACATGTCGAATGAAAATGTAATGAATATGAAAAATAACTAGATATGACATGAAAAATATGTTTCTCGATTGAAATGAACCAACAATGCACAAAATTACACCAACTATATATCAATGTATGAAAATTGAAATATGTACTATGAATTGGTCCCTAGAAATGAGACAAACCAGACACATTACTTTGAGTGCAAAAACTATGAAATGGTGTTAAAGAAGAGCATTTTAACAATCAAAGTTATGCAAATTACTCTCTCTAGAAACAAGTAACACAATTCACACAGAGAGAGAGAGAGAGAGAGAGAGAGAGAGTAGAACCAGCTTTGCGAGGCAAAGCAATCCAATTGCCACCAGTGCCATATTTCTGAAGGTAATTCTTGAGAGTAGCATCTTCTTCAGGAGACCATGGTCCTTTTTTCACTTTAGTCTTGTCACAGCAAGGAGTTCTACCCATGGCTGAACACTCTGTGTGTTTGTGTGTGTGTGTGTGTGAGAGAGAGAGAGAGAGAGAGAGAGAGAGAGAGAATTCAGACAGGCAAGAGCATGATCAACAATATTCTCCGAGACACATTATGCAAACGGTGGTCTTCTAGTGACTGTTTATGAAGTGTGTATATATATAGCTCCTTAGCAAAAGCTTGACTTTGCATTATATTACATTTTATTTTCTATATATATATTTTTATTTTATCTTATTTGTTGTTGGTTTAGAAAGAGGGACACAGTCAACAGTACTCACCCAAAACAGCTAGCACATGAGTCATGAGGTCAATGTACTTGGCTTGCCTCATTGGACAAGTGATTATCCAATTTTTGATATGCCACCTTTAAATTCTATCAAATATTGTTCAGGGCGAACTCTGAAAATTATGTAAGAGGGTAATAATGGAATTTTTTTATAATTTCAGTGCAGACAATACTAAAATTTAATAGGTATATAATTTCAAAAAATATATATATATAATACTTGTAGAAAAAAAAAATTGCCAACAATGAATAGGTCCATCAAAGGCCATGTGGTGTAGTGGTATTTTCTCTACATTTTAAAGTAAATAGTGAGGACTTGAGTCCTAAAGGAACAAAGTAGGTATGTGAATGATGTGACATTGTGCGTATGTTTCTTATCAATGAAAATAACTATGATGAATGGCGTAACATTGTGCATGGTTCATCGTATTAGCTGATTCGTAACACTTTTATAAGAATACAATACAGTTACACATCTCCATAACTTACCAGTTCAACCGATTTAAATTCACGATCGCAATCGATACCGCAACCACGAAGAACCCAAATATTTAGATTTATGGTGAATATTGAAGTCATAATGCTTAATAATGTGTTATGCTCGCATGAAATGATTTCTCACGTGTATCAAGGCTGGCTTAATTTCAGAGCCTCTTGTCTCCAAGTATATACATACATGCATACATACATACATATATATATATATATATATATATATATAGTCTCATATCAGCAGAATATATACACAAATTCTCACGTCTCATGTCATGATTTATATTCCCCAACGTTTGAGGTATGGAGCTCTACAGAATTGCAGTTTATAGGAAAAAGAGGTTCAAAGACATTGTAAGTCCTCAAAATGTGGAGTAAATATTTTTGGAAATGTAATTTTTTTTAACTTGTCTAAAGGGTAGAGCACTCTCAATGATGCATTTTGGGTAAAATGGCTGATATTGTCTTACAGGATTCTGAAAATTCATTTGTCTTGTAATGTGCATTACAATGAAGCTTAATTATTTATTTTTATTTATTTTTAAATAAAATTATTTAATGCCCATCATTGTGTTTGGATATGAAGATAGTACCATGCAAATTCTTGATCACTTTGATTTATGAAGCTTATTTTAGTTTTCCTATGGAAGGTCTTTTTACTATTTTAACTCTTAAAGCACCAAATATTTTTGCAGATAGAGAAATTTGATTGATAAGGGGAAAGGTTAAATTTTCTTTAATGCGGTTAAAAAAATTTTGATAAAAAAAAAAGTAGAAGCCTCCATCTAGAATTAGCTTAGACAATTTGAAGAATTAATTAAGACCTTTATTGGTATTTTTTTCTTAATTTATAATTGTGGAAACCGAGTCTCAATTTATCAGATTAAATTGTAGGCTTTGTAATATAATAACAATATTAATAATTATTATTATTTAAACTTTTAACAAATAACACATGCTCACTTTTTGTCCTCATGGGACGAATCCTTGATTTTCTGTCTCCGAAGATGACGAAAAAATTTACCTATCAAAAATAAAATAAAATAAAAATAAAATGAAATGAAAATTGGGAGTGAGAATTTTTTTTTTTTTTTTTTTTTTTTTTGCTTTTTACATTTTCAAGTAACGCATACAACTACACCCACTTTTGTCTGGATGGACATTTGAACACTCGATCACCATTTTAGTAGGAACAAAAGATACCACTAAGAATAACTATTTTTCAACCGAGTCAGTGGGCCGACTCTCTCATTGGATTGGAGGGTAGGCCCACCACTATGTGACAATGAAGCACTGTGGGCGCAGCACGAGAGTAGGTCCCAGCCGATTTTGTTTCGGCCTCTTCCTTAAGTTTGATTACTCTCTTGCAGTTGGGCCTAGTTTAAAGACAAGTAAACCCAATGTAGGCCCAATAAAACTTTATAGAGTAATCAGACTTAACGAACTATATTCGGATTTGAACTCCCAATGTTATAAATATTTGATTTGAACACTACTAACCCAAAGTGTTTTATTTTATTAGTCTATAATTATTAATATAATGCTAACCTCATTCAGCTCACTAAATGATTCAAATATTTCTATTTTAGCTGCCAATGGTTGTTTACTTAGGGCCATTACATCCATCCCAACTATTTACTTTTATGTATTTATAGATCAATTACGTAGTACATTTATTTTAGGGTTGCAATCTCCCTTCTTTTCCATCTAATATACTCCTCTTCTGTACTCACGTCATATTTCATTATATTCATTATATACCTTTGAAGAATTATAGGGTATCCAATACTTTAATAATACATACATTTTCTTTAGTGTGTTCCTCGGTGACTCACTCTTACACTTTGAGTCTCACACTCTTGAAGTTTGTTGGCTACAAATTATCCTCATCACCTATTTATAGGTATGTTCATTACTTCCTAAAACTTCGTGCACATTCTAGATATTTACAACCTTACAAAATTCTTTGCAATTCTAAAATATTCTACTCTCTATAAAAATCTATAATCTCTCAACTCTCTACAATACTCCACACAACTCTTAACATTTGCCATGCAAATGATAAGTAGAGTGGTGTTCACTCACGGACCACACACTTGTACCTTTCTTCATAATTAGGCGGGCTTAATATTATACTGTGATATTTTGATGTAAATTATTTTTTAAAAAAATGTTATCAATAAATATATTCAGGTGTTTGTTTGATTGTAAATATTTTACACAATTAATTTTGTAGAAAAGACAAAATAGCTTACAAAATGCTTAATGAAATTCATATGTTCACGGGATGGTCATATATATAAATATAAAGGTATATATGCACCCATCACACATCTATACATCTAAATACGCCCATTCAAATCTATATACCAATATGAAATTACATTTATATGGTAGTATATATATTGTTTTGCAAACTCAAGTATATATATTTGCCTATTATGCTTTTTTGGTAAGTATAGTACTTTTCTATATAACAATATCTAACATATATACAATTAATGCATGTATTTGTATAGACATGCTTAATTAACTTCTTGTGTCGAGTGTGCATACTTTTTCAGGAATGAAAATAATGATAATAATAAACGGGACTCTTCTTCAAAGATTTTTTTTTTTTTTTTTAAGCATCAATCAATAAAATTGATTACTCTTACCTATTTTTTTATTTTTTATTTTTTAAAAATACTCTTACCTAATAATTTTGAAATTTTCTTTTTAATATGTTTTGGTCTTCATAAAGTTTCGTTTTGCTTTCATCTTTTCTCCTTTGTTTTCATCACTTTTCTAGAGATTTCCGCGAATTACGAGTACTTGATAATTAATATACCATTTTATAATATCAAAATATTACTTTCTTTTGTGTAGAGAGTAGTGATATTTCAACCACATAGTTCTTTGACCAAATACATTTGATTGACCATTGATCTTATAAAAATATGATATTTCGATGGCAAAATTCTTTAACTAAATATATTTAATTGATCATTAATGCAAAAGATAATAAAAATTTGTACACTAATGAGTGATTTTTAAATTTCTGGAGGTTTGATAAAAATTTAAGGATTATCATGGTGTGAGATGAAAAAAAATTTGTTTGAGGATATAAATAAAAAAGACTTGAGATGTCAGCTTTTAAGGGTGCGTTTAGTAACGTTTTTGTTTTTTGTTTTTACAGTTTTAAGAAAGCAAAAACATGATTTTGTTTTCTTGAGTGAAAATAGAAAACAGAAATGATGTTTATTAACGCTTATTGTTGCCACAAATTTGAAAACATAAAACAATAATTGTGTTTAGTAATACAACATATTTGTAACAAAATGTACATAATATTCTTTAAATTTTTTATTTTATTTTTTTCATTGCAAGAATTTTAAGAGTTAGTGATTAAAGAGGAGGGTGATGGGGAAGGTAGATGATTTGAACACGAACTATCGAACACAGGGAGCAATCTAATCACTCAGGCCCGATACTTGCTTACATTAATATCAAAAATCCATAAATCTAGAAAATCTAATTAAAAATTATAAATCTTAAAAATACCCAATACGTCATAAGTACAAAATTATATATACCAAGACAAAAACATTCCCACCAATTATGTATATAAATACATGTATATGCATGATGTATACATTTATTATGGGATATATAATATATTTAGCATATGATAATTTATTATGAATACAAAATATTAAATAATATATTTTATATGAATTTTATTTGAAATAAATAGTTCCTATGTAGTAACATTAGTGAAAACGTTTCTCTGCTATAGTACCGAAAATGTAAAAAACATCATTTTGATGTTTTATCTTTCCTTCACAAAAATTAAAAATGTTTTCTGTTATAAAAAAATAAAAATATTTTATTAAACGCGATTTTTGTTTTCATTTTGCCTTTTTAGAAGTTGAAAACAGAAAACAGAAAATGTTTCTCATTACCAAGTGCAAGCTAAGTGAATTCCACCACTATATTCAACGGCTAAGACCCAAGTATATTTTATTCTGAAGTATTATGAACTTTCAACCTCTTTTAGTACATGGTGGACTGCATGATCATCAATACGTAGTAAGTAGTCAAAACCAACTAATAAATGCATACATAGTTCTGAAAAAATCAGTATCATTCAATTTCTAGAGGAGTGCAATTTTGAAGATCATTCATATATTAATTATATGGTTGCAAGGAACTTGTGTTTCATTTTCTGCATTGTGCTACCTCCATTTCTTTATATTTATTCTACAACTATTTCATAGTCTCGTAGCATGACTCATTACTTTATTTATTAGAATTACGCGATTTTGTATATATCCTTTATTTT